CCAAGATCGCACCATTGCGCTCCAGCCTGGGCAACAAGAGGGAAACTCCATCTCAAGATAGATAGGTAGGTAGGTAGATAGATAGACAGACAGACACACAGACAGACAGACAGATAGATGATTGATAGATAGATAGATAGATAGATAGATAGATAGATAGATAGATAGATAGATAGATAAACCACAGCTCGCAGGTACTCATTGAGGTTAGCAGTACACACACAGGCACACATCTGTATTCATGTAGCATTCTTGCACAAGCACCTACTTATAAATTCCTACAGGGTGACCTCCCCGACTCACATTCAGATATAGTTCATTTCCATCCTAGATCTCGGGCAAGATTCTTGACCTCTCTAAGCCTCAGTGTACTACTGTATCAAATGGAAATATAATGGTAGCTACCACGGAGAGTAAGGATTGGTGGGAGGGAAGCCAGGCAGGCTACTCGGCACATAGTAAGGGCTTAATGAATGGTGCTCTCGTTTCACTGAAGCAAAAGGGGAAACAAAAAGTTTAGCAGACAGGCAGAGTATCCAAAATGTTGTGTAGCGTCATCACTGATGGCACTCTATTGTGCCCGAGCCTGACCTCTCTCCCTAGGGCTTTCAGAATTTCCTGGGGGTTTCCTGCCAGGCACAGTGACTCACGCCTGTAATCCCAGCACTTTGGGAGGCGGAGGCAGGCAAATCACCTGAGGTCAGGAGTTCGACACCAGCCTGGCCAACACGGTGAAACCCCGTCTCTACTAAAAATACAAAAATTAGCTGGGCGTGGTGGTGTGCACCTGTAGTCCCACCTACTCTGGTGGCTGAGGCAGGAGAATTGCTTGAACCCGGGAGGTGGAGGTTTCAGTGAGCCAAGATTGTGCCACTGTACTCCAGCCTGGGTGACAGAGCGAGACTAAAAAAAAAAAAAAAAAAAAAAAAATTCCTGGGGATTTCCAGACAGGAAAATGATTGCCCCAGGGCTCCAATATCCCTGCAGCCCGGCCTCTGTCTTCTGTGCCCACTCATCCCTGGGGCTGCTTCCTCCTTTCCTCTGACCACTGTCTCCAGAGCCTCCTGCCCTCACAGTTTTACTTTCCTGCGGTGATGGGCAAATTGGTACCTTCAGATAGCTGTGGAATGAACCCAGACATGTATATCCCTCAGGTCGCCTCTGGGCAAAGATGCTTGAGGCAGTCAGCGGGGTAAGCAGGGGTTGGGGTCAAGTAGACAAGCTGAGCTTGGAGGAGTCTGAGAAATGTCCTGGTAAGCAATCCAGACTTGAGTCTCACTTCTGACACCTATCACCTGTGTCCTAACCTCTCTTTGCATGTCTCCTCATCTATAAATTGGGGATGATCATAGCACCTATTCATGAAAAGACTGATGCATGGCTAGGCACGGTGGCTCACACCTGTAATCCCAGCACTGTGCCAGGCCAAGATAGGAGGCTCACTTCAGGTCAGGAGTTCGAGGCCAGCCTGGCCAACATGGTGAAACCCAGTCTCTGCTAAACATACAAAAATTAGACGGGCATGGCTGGGCGTGGTGTCTCACACCTGTAATCCCAGCTATTCAGGAGGCTGAGGCAAGAGAATCACTTGAACCCGGGAGGCAGAGGTTGCAGTGAGCTGAGATCACGCCATTGCATTCCACCCTGGACAAAAAGAGCAAAACTCTGTCTCAAAAAAAAAAAAAAAAAATTAAGTGGGCATAGTGGTGTGCCCCTGTAGTCCTAGCTACTTGGGAGGCTGAAGCAGTAGAATTATTTGAACCTGGGAGGCAGACGTTACAGTGAGCTGAGATGGCGCCACAGCACTCCAGCCTGGGCAACAGAGCGAGACTCCATCCCAAAAAACAACAGCAATGACAACAAATAGTAACAACAACAAATAGTACCTATTCATGAAAAGACTGATGCATGGCCGGGCGTGGTGGCTCACCCCTGTAATCCTGGCCCTATGGGAGGCCAGGCAGAGGATCACTTGAGGTCAGGAGTTCAAGACCAGCCTGAGCAACATACAAAGACCCCCCATCTGTAACAACAACAAAAAAAAAACCCAATAGCAGGTTTAGCCTAAGACCCAACACACAGTAGGTGCCTGATGAAAGCAAGCTGTTATCATTGTTTTTGCTTTTCATTTTCTACCCTGGGCTCCTCTTAAGACTCGGTCTCTCTTGTTTCTTGGAGGTCAGGTTGCCAAACTTTTCCAGGACTCGAGTCTGGGAAGCACCGTTAACATCCTTGTAACTCGCCTCATCCTGCTCACGGAGGACCAGGTGCGGGAGGCTGCCTCCCCTTCCCCTTCCCCTTCCCCTTCCCCTTCCCCTTCACACCAGCAGATCTTGCTGTCCCCTGGGTGGTGGGCGCCCACGTACTTCCCTCTGTCCATCCCCAGCCCACTCTGGAGATCACCCACCATGCCGGGAAGTCCCTGGACAGCTTTTGTAAGTGGCAGAAATCCATCGTGAACCACAGCGGCCATGGTAATGCCATTCCAGAGAACGGTGTGGCTAACCATGACACAGCAGTGCTCATCACACGGTGAGGGGACAGGAGAGGTCTAGGACTGGGGCTGAGAAAACAGGTGGTCCAGGGAACCGTGAGAGTCCAGAGATCACTTCTGCTGGGGTCGGGAGGAGGAGGGAAGCTTGGGCCACCCATGAGGGGGTCGGGGATGGGGAGGGGCTGCTTAAGAATAATGAGTAAGGGAGGTTTGGGGCTGTTTGGGCACTGATGCCCTCATTCACTCATTCTCTCACTCATGCACGCGTGCATTCATGGTCAGTCACTCCTGTATGCGGCTTCGGGTGAGAGGCAGATGGCGCCTCCAAGGCAGGACTCAACCCCCAGAGTTGGGCATGGTGGCATCAGCAGGGCTTAGGGAGATAGCCCAGCCCCTTCACTGCCCCCTTCTCCTTTTACAGCTATGACATCTGCATCTACAAGAACAAACCCTGCGGCACACTAGGTATCCGAGCCCCGTAGGTTTCAGGCGTCTATGAAGGCAGTGGGCTGGGGTGATTCCTGGCAGGTGGATGGGGCCAGCCAGCACCATCCTGAGCCTCCCAGTCCCATCCCCACATGCCCATCTTCCCAGGCCTGGCCCCAGTGGGTGGAATGTGTGAGCGCGAGAGAAGTTGCAGCGTCAATGAGGACATTGGCCTGGCCACGGCGTTCACCATTGCCCACGAGATCGGGCACACGTGAGGCCGGGGCACACAGGAGGGGGAGGACGGGAGGAGCTGGGCGGGTCCCTCGGCGCCCGGCAGAGCCGACACCCCTTTCCCTAGATTCGGCATGAACCATGACGGCGTGGGAAACAGCTGTGGGGCCCGTGGTCAGGACCCAGCCAAGCTCATGGCTGCCCACATTACCATGAAGACCAACCCATTCGTGTGGTCATCCTGCAGCCGTGACTACATCACCAGCTTTCTAGAGTGAGGATGCACCTGCGTGTCCCTCAGAGCGGGTCACACCCATGGTGGGGCAGGGTGCATGGGAGACGATAGAAATCAGGGCTGCTCCCTGGGACCCCCATCCAGCCGGGGCTCCTGAGCTCTTGACTTGTAGCCACCTAGCATGACAGTTGCTTTTCTCTCGAGGCAGCTCGGGCCTGGGGCTCTGCCTGAACAACCGGCCCCCGAGACAGGACTTTGTGTACCCGACAGTGGCACCGGGCCAAGCCTACGATGCAGATGAGCAATGCCGCTTCCAGCATGGAGTCAAATCGCGTCAGTGTAAATACGGGGTAGAGAGAGCCTTCCTGCTTTCCTTCCTGGGAGGGGAGGGGGCCGCTGGGGGCGGGGGAGGGAACTCTACCAGGGCACCCACCTGGGAAGTGGGGGGGTGGGAGAGCCGGGAAGGGGGATGGGGTGAGCCCCCATGGGGATCTGGGAGGACAGAGGTGCATGGAGCGTGCAAACTATCCTAAGCAATCAGACAGTGCTTGGGAACAAAAATGGGATCCCCTGCTTCTCCAGACCCCTGATATGAGGGGAGGGTTGGGCTGAGGGGCCACCTTCTGTCTAGTACATCAGACCACCTGTGGGCTACAGCAGGATCAAAGTCTCAAGACCTCTCATGGGGCAGTTTTTAACTAAACATCCAGTCCTGATGGAAATAATTTCCCTGGGGATGAGCTATCTTCCCTACTTGGCAAAGAACTAGACAGAACCTTCCAGGGACTCCCTGTCTGGAGGAGCTCTGAGCCTCCTGACCTCTCCCCACTCTTTCCCGAGGTTTAGACTCCCAAAGCCCTATTCGTGCATAGAGAAAGGAGTTGGGGGTAGGGGGTTCCACTCCCAGCTCCTCCCAGGAAGCTGGAGACCTACTGGCTTCCTGCTTCAGCCACCAGCATTCAGCCACAGTGTGCTCCTCCTCTGCCCACCTGCCTCGATTCCCTAAATGCACCCCTAAGCTCCTCAAAGTCTCAGCCCTAGGGGCCCAGGCCCAGCCCTAGTTCTTCATACCCTCACAACTCAAAGGGTCAGAGTTTTTGTGATGCCGTGTTCACGCAAAGCAGAGGGCAAGCAGCTGCCAAATTGCCCTCCCTCCATTCCACTGCAAGACAGAGACAAACCCTGGAAAAATTTCCTTTTTTTTTTTTTTTTTTTTTTTTTTTTTTGAGACGGAGTCTCTCTGTGTCGCCCAGGCTGGAGTGCAGTGGCCGAATCTCAGCTCACTGCAAGCTCCGCCTCCCGGGTTTACGCCATTCTCCTGCCTCAGCCTCCCGAGTAGCTGGGACTGCAGGTGCCCGCCACCTCGCCTGGCTAGTTTTTTGTATTTTTTAGTAGAGACGGGGTTTCACCGTATTAGCCAGGATGGGCTCGATCTCCTGACCTCGTGATCCACCCATCTCGGCCTCCCAAAGTGCTGGGATTACAGGCTTGAGCCACCGCGCCCGGCCAAAATTTCTATTTCATTGACATCCCACCCTTGAGCCCCTCCACCCTAACTTAGCTGGCAACTACAGCACCCTCTAAGGAATTCCTAAAGAATTCCGAAGCTAATCCTCACCATCTGCTGTGACCCAGGTATCCTAACAATGATCGTGGTATCTGACGTTTACTGAGCTCTCACTATGTGCTAAGCATGTGCTGTGTATCATCATCTAAACTCCTGACAATCCTATTAGCCCCCAAGTTACAGAGAAAGGGACTGGGGCATAGCATAGGGAGGGTGACTTGTCCAAGGCCACAGTTCAAGACCATGACAGAGCTGGGATTTAAATAGATCTCTCATGACTCTCCAAATTTTACAAAGGGGCAGGGGAGGGGAGGAGCTGTCAAAACATCAAGCTTGGGCTGGCACTGGCTATATGTTGAATTGAGCCTTCCTTTTAGTTTTTGAAGGAACATCTTTCAGGCCCTCTTGACAAAGGGGGATTTATTTACTTCATGTGACCTGGTTAATATATGTAAAGGTTCAGCCTAGGGCCTAGTCCAGAGATAGCGGTGGTCATTGTTACCCCATAATGGCATTGGTGCAAGTCCTTTCTTATCTATCCTGTCACATGCCTCATAGCCATTTATATAGGCAAGGCAGGCATTAGGCTGCCCATCTTGTAGATGAGTAAACTGAGGCCCAGAGAGGGGAAATATGTTGCAGGTCAATAGCAGAGTTGAGGTCTCTCCACAACTCAAATATGCCACAGTGCCTCCTTGTGGAGAGGAGGCCAAAAGCAGGGCTGAAATCGTTCTCTTGAGGTGTCAGAAGTGGGATTGCGACCGGGCTGATGTAATATTTTTAGATATGGCCAGGAGGACACAGGCTAAGTTTTTAGCTGAGAAGTGTCATCTAAAAGGCAGAAGGCAGAGACTCTAGAGGACCTTTGAGTTAGAATGTGTCTGAGAGTAACTCTTCCAACTTCTCACGTATGTACAGGTATCTCTAAGGGGCTGACCTAGGAAGGGTCCTTTCCAATGGCCATTGATTGATCCAGTCCCACAACTGGAAAGCTTACAAGAATTGGGTTCAGAGGGGATTACACTTGATAATTACAGAAGGACCACCTACTTCTTTTTTTTTTTTTTTTGAGATGGAGTCTCGCTCTGTCGCCCAGGCTGGAGTGCAGTGGCATGATCTCAGCTCACTGCAAGCTCTGCCTCCCAGGTTCACGCCATTCTCCTGCCTCAGCCTCCCAAGTAGCTGGGACTACAGGCGCCCACCACCACGCCTGGCTAATTTTTTGTATTTTTAGTAGAGACGGGGTTTCATCGAGTTAGCCAGGATAGTCTCGATCTCCTGACCTTGTGATCTGCCCACCTCGGCCTCCCAAAGTGCTGGGATTACAGGCGTGAGCCACTGCGCCTGGCCAGGACCACCTACTTCTTAGAGGAAAGATGGTGGGAGGTTGCTTAGGATGTGGGCCAAGAGGGTCAGAGATTTTGCTTCACCTGAACTCAGTGGGGCTTCTCCAGGGATATTAACCTGGACTTTAAGGGTCAGAGTGAGTCCCTGGGACTGGTCCAGCCTGTGCAGGATTCAGACGGGAAGAAGGTGGAGATTTTTCACCTGGAGAAAGACAGGAATGTCCCACACAAACCTAATTTGGCATTGTCCCCTCCCAAACTTCCACCCCTCCCCATAGCTTAAAAGTGTTGGGGGCTTCTCCAGTTGAGATGGGGGAACAAAGAGAACCAACAAGCTGGAAAAAACTAGAGTTGAGGCCTTTGGCCTAGTCATCATCCAGGCCGATTTCTCAGAACCACTACTTTCTCTTCAACTACTTTGCCCATCCCATAATAGAACCCCAAATCCTTCCTGTTCATTCCTCAGTAGGTCCCAAGTTTCCTTCCAGAAACTCAGAAGGCATCAGAAGCTGAATTGCAAAGTTCTTTAGAGCACAGACTCTGAATTCAAAGAGCTGAGTTAAACTCCAGGCTACTCCCTTAGTAGTTGTGTGACCTCTAGCAAGTGACCTTACCTGTCTAAAGCTTGGTTTTCTCCCAGTAAGATGGGGTAGTACTGCCTAAAGGGGTATATGGCATGTATAAGGTGTTCCATAAATGGAGCTTATTGGCAGAGGATAAGTCACAGGCCATGCCCCGCAAGGGGATGCACGAAGACCCACTGAGAGCCAGGAAGGGAGTACGGTGCTCTCTGCTCCGGGGCCGGCAGTGAGCCGGACATCTGGGTCCTCCCAAGCCGGGCGGGCTGCCCCAGGGAGGAAGAGAGGGGGGCGAGCCTGAGCGGGCGCCTTGGCCCGCAGGAGGTCTGCAGTGAGCTGTGGTGTCTGAGCAAGAGCAACCGGTGCATCACCAACAGCATCCCGGCCGCCGAGGGCACGCTGTGCCAGACGCACACCATCGACAAGGGGGTGAGCGCCGGCCAGGGCCCCCAACCGGGCCACGCCCCGGATCCACCTCCCGAGTTGGCCACGCCCACTCGTCTGTCCTTTGGCCTATTGTCTGCTCCCTCCCGCATTGGACACGCCCGCCATCTATACTCCCTCGGCTGCGGCCACGCCTACTGCATGCTCCTTCCGTCGTTGGCCACGCCCGCCACCTATGCGTCCCTCGGTTCTGGCCACGCCTACTGTTTGCTCACTCCGGCGTTTTCCACGCCCACCGTCTAATAATTTCCTCGGCTCTGGCCACGCCTACTATGTGCTCGCTCCCTTATTGGCCACGCCCATCCCCTGTGCGGCCCTTGGCTCTGGCCACGCCTACTGCCTGTAGGTCCCTCCCCCGGCCTGAAGCCACGCCCCATCTCGTCTCCACGCTTATCGTGGTCCTGTCTACACCCCTCCCTGTTCAGCTCGCTGTGCTCAGGCTACGCCTCTCGCTTGTAGCTTGTCTGTCTCCCAGACCACTCTCCTACGTAACCTAAACCTGTCCCTGTCTTCAGACCCCGCCTCTGCCCATCCCCTTCCTGCCCCATCCTGAAGAGGCTGAGATTTCTTTGGCTGGGGCCTGGAGTGGGGAACGGTGCATGGGGCCCGCAAGTGTTCTCCGGGCTGAACTCACTCCTTCCTGTCTCCCCCAACCCAGTGGTGCTACAAACGGGTCTGTGTCCCCTTCGGGTCGCGCCCGGAAGGCGTGGACGGAGCCTGGGGGCCGTGGACTCCTTGGGGCGACTGCAGCCGGACGTGTGGCGGCGGCGTGTCCTCTTCCAGCCGTCACTGCGACAGCCCCAGGTCAGCCCTCAGGACCCCCACCCGGAAGGGCAGCGCGACCCCCGCCCCCATCTCCCCCTGCCTCATCTCTCTTCTATCCCACCACCCCTTCCAGGCCAACCATCGGGGGCAAGTACTGTCTGGGTGAGAGAAGGCGGCACCGCTCCTGCAACACGGATGTGAGTTCCCCCAAACCTCTTGAGGAGTGGGGGGAGGAAGCATTTAAAAAAAGCTATCAGAGGCCTGGCACGGTGGCTCATGCCTGTAATCCCAACATTTTGCGAGGCCAAGGCGGGCGGATCACCTGAGGTCAGGAGTTTGAGACTAGCCTGGCCAACATGGCGAACTCTGTCTCTACTAAAAATGCAAAAATTAGCCGGGCGTGGTGGTAGACTCCTGTAATCCCAGCTACTCGGGAGACTGAGGCAGGAGAATCGCTTGAACCCGGGAGGCAGAGGATGCAGTGAGCCGAGATCGCACCACTGCAATCCAGCCTGGGTGACAGAGCAAAACTCCATCTCAAAAGAAAAAAAAAAAGCTATCAGAGTGCTTCATTCGGGCACCTGCTGCCTCCTAGGGAACCTGCAGCTGCCACCCCTCTCTTCCCTCCTCTCCCTAACCCCCACCACCTTCCCATCCGCAACGCCTCCTCCTTAACGACCTGGCCCCTTCCAGCTCTCTTCCTCCTGCATTTAGACTACGAGACCCCACCTTGAAATCACTGCTTGGCCCTCACAACCCCCTACCATCCAGTCTGTCCCTTCGCTTTACAGCCCAGCTTCCCCCGAAGAGTCCCACCCCTGCCTTCTGTCATCCCCCAAAGTTGTAGCTGAAGCTTCCTCTCACCAAACCCAGTGACAGGTGTCTGTCCTCTGCTTGTGCCCTCAGCTGACCTAGGACCACCGGTGAGCAGCAAGAAGTTTGCTGGGGAGGGGGTGTTTCAGAGGGCAGTGAGAGCTTTGGACTTCTCAGCCTCCTATGTGGGGGGATCCAGGTCTTCAGAGAATCCACATGCTGGCACCTTCTATAAACCCTGATCCCTTCCAGACTTTCTCTCTCAAGAAAGACTCCATGTGGCCAGGCGCAGTAGCTCACGCCTGTAATCCCAGCACTTTGGGAGGCTGAGGCAGGTGGATCACCTGAGGTCAAGAGTTCAAGACCAGCCTGACCAACATGACAAAACCCCGTCTCTATTAAAAATACAAAAATTAGGCCGGGCGCAGTGGCTCACACCTGCAATCCCAGCATTTTGGGAGGCCGAGGCAGGTGTATCACCTGAGGTCAGAAATTCAAGACCAGCCTGGCTAACATGGTAAAACACTGCTTCTACTAAAAATACAAAAAAGTACCCA